CAAGCCAGTCGCAGTTGTTTTGAGCTTAGCAGACAGGCGAACACAACGAATGACGAACACAGTGAAAGTATGAACATGCACACAGAGAAAGAGAAACCATTCCAATGTAACTTACAATCGCATCAGCAGAAACGCGAGGTCCGCGTCAGCCTTGCAGTCTTCTTTTTCTTTAGCTCTCGCCATTCGAAAAAAGCTTGCCCGATGTTCACCTGTGTACGACTCCTCTCTCTGTCCAGAGCCCTTTTCCTCTTTCTTTCCTGCTCCGACATGGGCTTTCACTGTTTTCTCTCTGGTTCCTCCATGATAACTGCACAAATATCGCCACTGCGCTAGCAACGAGCATGCTTTTAACTGGGGGCGTGTAGCAGTTCTCGCCGTAAAGCAAGACCGACTCTTGCGAGACTTCTGAGCCTGTGGGTGCGGGTCGGTGCTCCTGCAATTGCAAGTGCGGTATTTCCCCCACAGACCACCAGGGCGGCCGAGAATACCTTTGTTCAACCTGAAATAAATAATTTAATCATCCAAAACATAGGCTGACGACTATGAATTTCTGAAAGCAATTGGATGGATTTGTTTTGGAATTTATTGACACATTCTGGGCGCATCCCATTATTTATCGCTCAGTTGATCACATAAAATATATTTAAATTTATGGTTGCAAGTTCACAAATCAAAGGTCTATTGATATTGATATATATATATATATGTAGGTGATAATTGGTATGTTTTTTTTTTTTGCAGGAGTTCCAGTCTGTACGAGCAGGATGAGGTGAATGTGTTTGCAGAGCCCTCCATCATGTCTGCACACCTGCTGCCCTACCTGCTGCAGATGGCTGAGAAATCCTCTCAACCCTCTGCTTTGGCAGAGACACTAACTAATTGGGCAATGGAGAATGCAGCACAGCTAATGGATAACCTTAGCGCCTGTGAGCAGCTCCAGCCAGGTACACTGTCACACATGTCGTATGGTGTTAAATTATTAGAGCTGAACTCTGGAATATTTCCCGCTTTATGTGCTCAAATAAAACTTTTTTTCTTCTCTTTTAGCTAAAACATTGACTCCCTCTTGGCTGGCTCTCCTTGTGGATCCCTGTTTCCACAGTGCTCTTTGCGGCCTCTTAACCAGAGCTGCCTTTCTCCATCACCTGGTTAAAACCTTCGCTTGTATACGACATCTGTGGGATCCTTTAAAGATGCAGATGCGTTTGCAGGATGTTTATTCTTTACTAAGTCAGAGTGGTGTTCACCTTCCCCCTGCTTTAACAGTTGTTGTGAATGCTGGAGCACTGCCACTGTACAAAGAGCAGAGGGGAGCTGACCAGTGTGACCTGGGATAAAATTAGTTTCTGATATTTTCAAAGTGGACATGACGCACTCGGTATTAAATGTAATGTTGATGCTGTCGGGCTGCAACCGTTCTTAAACTTATGCAAGAGCTAAATGGGTAGGGTTAATGGTGTAACCCTGTTTGCTTTTGGGGGAAAAGAGCTTTTGGTCCTTGCCTAGATGAAGCTTTATGCCTGTTTTAGTGGCGTTTGAATCATAGGGAAATGCAATCAGAACAATACCTCCAGGTCATCTAGGCAAATTTGTTCTTATGCTGCTCTTCTGCAGCAATCGTATCCAGGCTCAGACTGATGCAGTGATGTAATGCAACAGCATGTGGAAATATTGCCTGCTGAGCAGCCAGTGGGGGACGTGATCTGGGGTTTGATTTTTCCATTAGAGGCCTTCTTACTGGATAAGTGTCCATTTTCTCAGCCGTGAGAGAGCTGAGGGCAGACTCTGAGGGATCTAAATGAGATCTGGTGGTTTGTCTATAACAGCCCACACATTACAGCTGCCTTACATCATCAGATAGTCCACTGCTAGATTGATAACCACTAGAATTCAGGAAACTTTCAACATTCAATTCAATAGTTTCAGTATTAGGTGATTAGTAGAATTTTAGCAGAGAAAGTTAATTCCTTGATGTAGAAAATTAATCAGAATCTGTCTGTAAACCAGAAAATGAAGTTTCTCTTGTTTTGTTTTTTTCTCTATGTATGAACAGTTTGTTGCACCAACAAGTGCATGGATTTTATAGCTATGACAGTTTTCCCTGTGACCTGCTCTAGGTTTACATGGTGTACAGTAAGTATCCCCATTTTAAGATTTCTTTTTTTTTTTCTTTTAACCAAAACTAAATAGAATTTAAGCAACGGTTCCTTTTTTTTCCACTGAATTTACCTTAGAAACATACAGGGAGTTGATTTTTTTTTTCTGAAGGTTCAGTGGCTGTTCTTGACAAAAAGGAAAGGAGACTTTGATTGCATAAATTTTAGTAACGGGAGAGCAATTCTCACAATCTCAAGCAGAGGTAAACAGAACTTAACAAATGTCACATGATTCATTCATATCATTTATCAGATATATTCCAATAAATAAATGCGATATAAAACATAAAATTTACTATATCTTATATGGATATTTTAAAACTATGTCTAATATAGGGAAATAATCAGAATATTTGTCAAATATAAAACAAAGGTTTTTTTTTCTTGCTGAAACCAGACTTCTCAGCCTGAAATATCTTGCATTCCCAGAAGGTGTAAAAAGTGGGTAAGTGACCATACTGAGAGTATGTGGAGTAGTAGAAAGCTTGCATCCAACTTCTTTACTTATTAACTAAGGCAACAGGAGGAAAGGCAAGGATAAGAGGGTACAGCTTCTGTAATCAGGTGTGTATTTTTATATAAATACTGACTTGCGTGCCATTTGAGGCTTGCGGGTAGTATTTTTCCACTGCTAGTAAATAAAATGTTCCTGTTGATGCATTTATTCTAAAATCTATATGTCATTGTTTGAATGATTATCTTGGGCATGCTATTCAAGGAAAAATGTTATCATTGTTAGATTTTCTTTGATAACTTTGTATAACCAGACATTGAATGAGCACATATTTTAGTATAAAATGAAGAGCAGCATTTGATGTGAAATCAGATTTACTTGCTGGGTATTTGTGAGTTTCAGTATTTTGATCAATAAATAAATGACCATTTAAAGTGCTCAAACTTTTCTTGAATATTATTTTTTTTTACTTATTTGTACTTTCTTGTTAATGTTACTTATTGCCTAGTCCCAAAGCAAAGCTTTAACATGTTATGTTGGTGAAGATTTCTCTACTTTTTTAAGACATATTTGATTTGTAGCTAATCTGAAAACTGTGATGTAATTCATTTGAAATAAAAGTGATGCTTTATGATTTTAAACTGCTAATGTTCATTTTCTTTGCAGACAAAGAAATATGATAAAATAGTAGTGATTTGGTAGTTTTACATTCCTTTCTGTACAAGTTTATGCTAATAAGCTGTTTGATTTGGACAAAATTTGAACAATTTACCTTTATATCTTTTTTTTTTTTTTTCGGAAATGACTTTATGTAAAAGACATTAAAGGGAAAAAAAAGGTCAGGGAAGGAATAAAGTGAAGGTTTAAAGCATGCACCTCTGACCTCAAAGCATAAAGAGGCTTGGAGCTTATCACCAAGATGAATCATCTAAACACCAGTGGAAACGTTCAGGAACCTGTTAGCAGTAATGAGGATTAGATTTCTGTGATGCAAAAGAGGGTAAACTAAAATCTATACATTGTTTTATCACTTTGAGAGACATCTTTCTATGGAGGATCAACTCTGCCATATCTAAAAATAAATACAGAAATAAATGCATGCTCAATAAATAAATAAGCATTCAATGTATTGCCCCCCAAAATACAATAAACAAATAAATGTAGGTAGAAATTAAATTATACAGTGACACATAAATGTATATATCTCTTTCAATTGGCTTCTTTATTTGTCTTTGTAATAATTACCTTATTAATTTATTTATTATCCGTCATAATCTTCAACTTTATTTATTTATTACTAATTTTTAAAGTATTTCTGTGCATGATTTAAAATTTTTGTCTGTTTTATTCTTCTTTTGTAAATTTTTACCCTCTTTATTTCTTCAGCGCTATTTATTCCTGTTGTTTTTACATTTCTTTATGCATTTCTGCCTTATTATGCAAACGAGGAAGGGGTTGTGTCTTACTCAATAAATAAATAAGCAATCAATTAATTGCATGCTTATTTATTTACTGAGCATTTATTTATTTATGTATTTATTTTATAAATATGGCAGAGTTGGTCCTCCATACATGTCTCACTTCCTATCAGAAGTAACTACCTGGCTTTAAGTGGAGTGATTTGAAATCCTATTCTGCTGAAAAAATTTATAGTTATAGAACATGATAAAAAAATTCTAAGGTATGTATTTTAACCTAAAAAAAAAACTCAGTAAAAGAAAATGAATAAAGAAATTGTAGTCATTCTTGGGGTTGTTTTATAAGGTGTGCACAGATAAGGGTAAGGCAAACAGCCTAGAAAGGATTGAAATACATTTTGTATGAGGCTGAGTTCAGTTTGTTGCAGCATAAAGAACAGATGCTCTGTGTTTGCTCTGCAGATTGCCTGAAAACTGAGTGTCCTTTTGAAAAGTGGCTTGGTTCACACTGAGTGAGTCACATGTTGGCTGCCCTCATTGCCAATGGGCCAAACACACACACAGTCACACAAAGAAGGAAAAGGATCTAGGCTTTATTATCCTCTGCAGAGGGAGGCCAGCAGGAGCACAGGCCCCCGAGGCAGCCTGGGAAAGGGGAGCACTGCAGATGCACCAGATTAAACTCTATATGGTTGGATTAAACATGAAAAGTGGTGACTTTGGGTATTTCTAAAGAAAATATCAGTGGTCGGCACAGAAAGTATAAAAAAATATATTTTTTTTTTTTTCAGTAAAGCAGAAAATACTGAAACCTTGAATCTTCTGGATATGCTGACTTCTCCCAATACTGAATATCAAGATTAGATAGACTGTTTGGAGCCGATGTTCTGTTTGTGTGCTGAACTGGGAGAGGTCCTTGAGATATGACGATGCTAAGGGCCCCTCCTCCTCCTCTATCTCCCCTCCTCCTCCTCTGAAGGCTGTTTACGAAGAAAGCTTCTGACAAAAACAAGGGCTGGGACTGAAGCGAGAGGAGCAGTGTGTGTTTGATGCACAGGCTCCTTACTCATTTGGATCAGCCGATATTTACAATCAGCGAGCTCAATTAAAAAGGAAGAATACCAGCATGTTGTCGGTGAATTCAGGCCGACAGCTCTGCAGGATGTTTTTCTCTTTGCACATTGTTTTCCTGAGCGCAGCCATCGTGGAAAGCAGCGCACCAAGTGGGAAGCCAGGAGGTAAACATGTTTTCTAGCCTTTTTGCAGAAAAAAAGCAATAACTTCGGTTAAATATAAATGATGTGTATCTAAGGGTAGCATTTTGATACAAATATTTTTTTTGGTTGCACATGTGTTTTTTTCCCGTTTTAATGCAGACGTGTTTTATTTTCAGATTGTGTGACATCCAGGGGTCTGGATTACAGAGGAGAGCAGCAGAGCTCCTCCACAGGTCTGACGTGTCTGAACTGGATCAGCACTGCAAGAGATTATGATGTTAAACTGCACCCAGACTCACAGACAGGTAAATGCACCATGTCTTTAATGTTACTAGGGCTGCAAACAACGATTATTTTGCAAATTAATTAATCGATTAATAATAGTCAAAGTGTCCTTAAAGAAGATTTGTACTAAATAAAACCAAGTGAAACTAAAATGTTTCCACTTGAGGAGTTCTCAATAGAGCATATTGACAGAAAAAAGGTATTTTTTAATCTAAAGGATAAATGTGTGTGTGTGTGTACACATTTTTTTTTTGTACAATTTTGATATAATTACTGCTCTAAGTGGGTTACAGTTAACGATTAACCGATTGCTAAATCAGTCCTTAAAGGGGAACACCAGTTTTTTTTACATTGGGCCCTTGATTTTACATTATTACATCATGTTCTAGTCACCCGTATGAATTTTGTGTCATTTGGAGCCGTTCTGAAGATATTCCATTAGGTTATATCCAGGTAACGTCTACCTATGGGCAATGAGTTGAAGGCATAAACTAAACTGTTCATAATTTATTATTTATGGTACGCCAGCATTCATAACATGTAGGAGAATCACTGTGCCCCAGACATCCGCGGTTATATTTTTAATATTTATTTCTTTTAAAAACAAAGTGGCGCGTATATGACATCATCCGCAGGCTACCAGTCATTCATCCTGTCCGCTGAACTGCTGCTAGTTTTACTCACATGACTGGAAGATGTCTAGTGCTACTACCACAGATGATCTCGCTCTCGAAATGGCATTGAATAATTCACATTAGCTAGCCGAATATATAAGAGGTAGAGCGTAGCCGCCTGGTGTAAAGTACATTGGTTAAATAAAGTTTAAAAAAAAAAAAAACAACTCCAGTCTGACCCGTGGATGACGTCATACACGCACCGCTTTGTTTTTAAAACATATAAATATAAAAAATATAACAGCGAATGTCTGGGGGACAGTGATTCTCCTACATGTTATGAATGCTGGCATACCATAAAGAATAAATTATGAACAGTTTAGTTTGTGCCTTCAACTCGTTGCCCATAGGAAGACATTACTTGGATATATCCTAACAGAATATCTTCGGAACAGCTCCAAATTACACAAAACTCATATGGGTGACTAGAACATGATGTAATAACGTAAAATCAAGGGCCCAATGTAAAAAAAACGAAATTCCCCTTTAAAGTTACCTGAACACTAAACTTTGCTTCTTCTTTGAGCCTGGAGACTTTGAAATGTCACCTATGTTGATGGTTGCAACAACTTCACAGTATAACAAATAACTCCTAGCACATTCTGTTGATCCATCCTGATGAGATAATAAATAAAAGTCAATTAAAGTCAATTATCCGCTGACATACAGAGACAGCTGACACTGGAGATGAGTCTGTCTGTGTTAAATTGCCACTGATGTACCAGATGTTGTTGCCATTGTGTGTGCTCAGGGCAGCCTGCTCACTCTGCTGTGATGAAGTGCTGTTAATAAGTCGTCAATCCAGCAACTTATCCACACAGCGGAACAAAGATGTGCTTGTTTTTCTACTGGGGAATCAGTAACAGAGCTTTGCTTCTTTTGCACCTCCTCTGTAGATGCTGGCGATCACAATTATTGCAGAAACCCAGATAACTCTGAGGGGCCTTGGTGCTACATTGCAGCCCCAGATGGAACAATTCAGAGGCAGTTCTGTGCAATTGAGATGTGCAAAGGTAAGCACACACTATGGCCAGCTATGAGATATAATATGTTTGACGTTTGTGGGGAATGTCTAACAAAAACAGGATATAACCACTGGTGTATCTTACATTAAAAGGTGGGATTTGGCAAGCTCAATTTTGGGAATACAAAGATATCATTTGATTGGTTGGTTGATTGATTGATTTACTTAATTGATCTCACAGTGGAAAAATGTCCTCGTTACATCGGCTCAAATAGTCAAAAAAAAGAAGAAGGTGCCAAAAGGAGGAAAAAGTTATGTTGAAGTCTCATACTTAACAGGTTATTATACAGAGTTATTGCACAGGGTATTGTATGGGTATTTATATAGATGGTTTATTGCACTGGGTATTAAATATAAAACAGGTTATTGCACAGGGTATTAAATAGTAATTGCACATTTAATATTGCACAAGTTATTGCCCTAATAGTGTCGTTCTGAAGAGTCTGATGGCAGCAGGGATGAAGGACCTGTGGTAGCGCTCCTTTTTACAAACAGGATGTAAGTTTTTCACCAAAGGAGCTGCTCAGCTCCTCTATAGTCTGGTACAGAGGGTGGAAGGTGTTGTTCATGATGGATGTAGACTTGGACAACACCCTCCTTTCAGCCACTTACTCCACTGAGTCCAGAGGACAGGGTTAGGACAGAAACTTAATAAAAGGACAAAAATTTAATAAAACTTAAGATCCTCGTTTTTATCATTACATTGCTAAAACAAAACAATATCAGTGTAAAATGACTTTTCCCATGTGTGACCAGTTTATACTTTGTGTTTTTCATGCCAGTTGTGACCCCATTTTAAACGCAGAGACCTTGATCTGAAAAGCAGCTTCAGGATCATTATCCAGCTGTGTCGTAGGAGTGATTTTCCTTCAGTTCCCCCCTTTTACTGCGTTGGCATCCAAACAAGCCTTAGAAAACCCTTCAGGGCCTAGTTGAGACATATTCAAAACACCTATGTCATATTGCCACGTTGTAAAAACCTCTCATTCAGTCTAGGGTTTCTAAATGCTTTATACAAGCATGTCTGGTGTTTGTTGAATGGTGAGATCTTGATCAACACAGAAATATTTCCATTAAGTTGTGAACTTTTTTAATATAAAACAATATAAACTTAATTGTTCAAAGTAAAAAAAGCAAGCTCTCCTAGAGCTCTTATTTTTTCCAACTAAGAGCAGTAGTCTGCAGTAGGTCAGTTGGTCAGAGTTGTGAGAAATGCTGCATTCTCTCCTTTGTTTCCTGCTGCTGGCCTACATCAGCAGGAATCAAACCATAACAAAGCCGTGCACGTGGTGGAAAGTTCCTGCTTTTCAGCCAGTCCCCAATCACCTCTCATTGGCTGTCAGCAGCCATTTCCTCATGGAGACAGAAGCTCATTGGCTGCTCCAGTTCATGACTTGAGGCCTTAAACTTGGGTAGATTCATAAACAACCCTGTGGGAGGAAACTTCTTAACCGAACAGAGTCTTGGAGATAACAAATGCTGGTTTCCAGAACTCCATCCGACTTCTAGCTTGACAAGAACTAAAATAGTTTAATTCCAGTGCTTTTTTTCAAAAAGCTTTCTTTTTTTTTTAAGAAAGACTGCATCCAACACTCCTCCTGTGGTGTTTGTTCCAGCAATACAAGAGAAAGCTCGGTTCGGGAGGGGGGGTTTGCGTCAGCACTGATGCTTGTAGAGCATCAATAATTAGAAACCACACGGTATGGATGACGCACATCCGACGGAGTATGAAAAGAATCAAGCAGAAAGAGATAATTTAAGCAGAAGCAGTGTTGTGAATGTGAAAACATTTAGAACATTTTAGGAATATGTGATGATTCTCCAGTAATCTATAATTTGTTAAGACCATTTGTTTTACTGAAATAACTGGGAATTCATGTGGAATAGAAAAAATGGAAGAGAGGAATTGTTTCAGTCTATCTATCCATTAATTGATTTATATCCTAAAGAAGAAATATAGAAATTCCAATTTGAGAAAGACTTGAAAGAAAACTATGGAGCTCTAAATTCAAACATATTTTCTGCTTTTTTTTTCTCTCTGGTAGCTTTCACAACAATGTACTTTGCCTATTTTTTTTTCAATAAATCTCACTTGATGGTGGTAAAAAAAAATAGGCCAGATACTGCAAGAAGCAGCCTGCAAACAGCTTTGCCCCTGTAGTAAATATATTAATTTAAATATTTATAAAGGAAGGAGGAGGAGAATGCAAGGATTTCTCAAAATATCACCACAGCTCATACATTAAACTGTGGTAAAAATCGGCAATGAGAAAAACACAACTGAGCTCGCTTTTAAATAAAGGCATCTTACATTTTTTTCTTTTTTAAATTATTATGCATTATATTATTATTCACACCTAAATAAAATGTATTTTTTTAATGTTACAAGTTACAGACCATAACCTGTACCATAAAAGGGTATGATGCAAAATCAGAATGTGAATGTAGTAAATAAATAAATAAATGATCTAATAGAGAAACACTTTGCTATTTGAAAATGTTATTTTTGGTTAAAGATGCTTCCAATCATTATGTGTAAAATATAAATCAAGTTGCATTAGTGGTATATTTACTGTCTTGGCTGAGGGTGATTTAGATGAATCTGTGACAATAGACCAACAAGGTGTAAATATGCACTTATCTGTGCAAAAGGAGTCTTGAACAGTACAACACTGAGTTAGGAAAGCAGATCTTTCACATGAAGAGATGTCTCATTCTGCTCTGTGTTTTTAGAGCAAACATCAGCTCCGCCGACAGAGCCTGGATCCCTCCGATCTACAGAGATCATCCCCTCCACGCAGAGCTTCCAGTCAGCCACACTTGGAAAACAGAAAGAGGTTGCAGCTGTGCAGCCGGTGATGGGCATCAGCCAGCGAGTGAGAACAGGACCAAAAAAGAAGAAGGACTTGGGTACTACTGGTATGTCTTTCTTGTTATGGGTCAATAATACATGTACTGTGTGTTTGCTGTAGACACAAACCTGCAGCTTGATGTGTTTTTTAAGACATGTAACATGAACTTGAGAGATTTCCTGTGCTTTCAGGCATGGTCCTGGGTATCCTTATGATGGCAATTATAATCCTCCTAGGAGTTGGCATCATGCTTGGCTACTTCTATAAAAGGTCAGTAATTAAACAAGGGCCTCTTCCTTTATTATTTAAGCTTCAATGTTTGAAGATAAAACATTAACACAAAAAAGGTTAAAAAAAAAAGCATTGTTATATTTGCTGCTTAGGCAAAGTCAATATTTTAAGCTACAAAGCCTATTTTGCACATGCACCTCTCTCCATTCCTTTGCCAAACCCAACCTGCGTCACAGTTGTTTATGTCACCAAATTGTACTTTTCCATAACAATGGATAACAGTAACACTCAGTGTTGAAAGATGCTCATTACGCACAAAAACAACATGTAGTGAGAAAGCTTGAACTCTAGGGGGGCTAATAAAGTATTATGCTTGGTCTAAGATGAAATAATAGCAAAAAGCTACATCACAGAGATTCATTCAGACCCCTTTTCCAGCTTTAAACTAATATCCTCTATCAGTACTGAACCAACAACTACTCATAGTGCTGCCGATCATTTTCTGATTTAGGAATGATTGTATATTTCAAACACTTAGTAGGAAGCTGACAGAGACGACTTGGTTGCAGGTGTGTCACCTGTTGCGTGCATTCCTCACTGATGTTCTCTCTTTTTACAATTAATCTTGAGGTGACCATTTTAATAGCTTTGTATCACAAGAGAAATAAGTTGTCATGGAAGTAAAAGCCTGAGGCTTATTCTAATCTCTCTTATTTGATATTGTTAGAAAGGAAGAGTGCAGGGAGGAGGGTGTGAGCTGTGTTAAGAAGCCTGCTCATTCACTTCTGCTGTTATGTAACCGGAAATATGATGGCCTGGATAATGGAAAACGGGGGTACCGAGAGTCCTAGCAGAACGATCCAAAGTGCCCTCTCCGATCTGTGCTTGGCTGTCTTATCTTATTAGCAGAGCTTCCGTCATAGATGTCTATTTTCAGGAGGAGATTATTAATAAGGAGGAGACGCGTGTTATATCAGAGGGCTGACACATGTCCTCAGTGTACAGTGACACCTCTTCAGGAATGTGAAAATGAGCAGTGGTTATGGCTCCACTAAGATGTCAGAAAAGCATTCTAACCTGTTATTTTTTTTAAGCCTCATTTGTTGGCAGTATTATTAATAAATAGTCATGCAGGGTGCAGAGAAGTAGCAATGTCACACCATGTTTATTAGATTGGTCACTAAAATATCTATAATTATATAATGCAAATCTTGGACAGCTAACATATTTAAAGCAGCAAAAACATTGCTTCATTCTACTTAGCCTTACTGGTATGTGATGAAAATCCTGCTCTCCATTAAATTAAACCCTAATGGATACACATTATAGCAAATATACTACTGTTTCTTATAATTGGCTGCATTTTTGGACTGCCTCTGGCTCCCATTCAAACACTTCACTAAGGTTAGCTGCTTTTCAGGAACAGTCTCCATAGTGAAGAGTTTTTTTGTTTGCTTTTTCATAGTTAATGCTACTACGGTATATGGTGCTTTTACACATTTGAGGAAAAAATAGGATTGTGGGGTTTTCTCTTAGCTAAACACCAGTTCAGATCAGTTTATTTATATATCGGCAGTTCACAGCACATGTCATCTTAAAGCACTCTACAGAGACAATTCAACCTGATCAAACAGTCAGACTGATTCAAAATGTTCTACCTGAGGAAAAATGTGCTGATTGCATTGACTCCACAGCAATCCCTTGCATGCATGCAGTGACACCACTTACGGCCAACCAACTTAGGATCATTCATGCAATTTCTCAATGCGTTTAAATTATCTTGTCCAAATTTCTTCAACCAGACCTGGTTGTAAACATCTATTATTTTTAACGGATGGCTGCAATTGGTCAAGACACCGCTTCGCATAGCAAATCAGCCAGAGATGCCCAGAAAGAGCATCCATCTCAAGCTTATAATGCATTAAAGTTTTGTTGCATTTAAGTTATTTTATTCATTTCTGAATTAGAGTAGCGGTTAATGATGAAATAAACTCAGATCTGTCTCAGGTCATATCTAATCTCTTTCTGTTGAGAAAACCAATTTAAAGGGGAAAACTCACCTCTCTCATCATTGCTTTAAAATCTTACACTTACTATTTGAAGTTGACATTTGAGCAAAGCAACTTGACCAATTTCCTTTTGCTCTCTTAATGGGGTCAGCTGCCCTTCCTTTTTTTTAAGAATAATAAAAGTTTGAATAAAATCCCCACCAATCTTTTCCCAATAGGATTTGGACCATTAGCCAGGCAGCTCATTTTGCCAAGAAGTGTTACTAAAATTAGCAGGAACACAGCTTGTGTGGGCTATTTGATAAGCAGCAGGCTTCATAAATTCCTCGACAAATTCTGACTCAATGATGGAGCTGAAAGCCATGTAGGAGGAAGATTTGGAGCGGAGCAGAGTTGCATAGTAGGCTGTGTTAAGCAGGGCGGTAGGAGGTGTTTCCAATAAACATTTGCATGGAGCTTCCCACTGTTGCACTGCTTCCTATAGTCCGTGTTTCTATCAGCAGTTAGTCCTTGGTCTTTGCTTCCAGTTGGACGCTATCGGTTTCGATTCCAATAACACCAGCTTCAGGGCCACAGAGGCCATGACTATAGTAGATTATCTGATGTGTACCAGATTGGCTGCCAACGTCTGATTGCTGTTTTTTTAAAAGCTTTAATCTTTCAATTCAGGCTAATTCTATATAAATTGTTATGCAGATCAGCATTTAATGCATTTATTTTTATTTTCTCTGTTAATTGATGATAATATGTTTGTATCAGGCAGTCATGATTCCAATGTGCGTTTATGCAGTTTACCACCTTGTATCAGCGATTAGAGTGGTCAGCTTGTCTAGCATTGCTAATATTAAAGTATTTGTGACTTTCCTAGAAAAATGTAGATTATTACCCCAGTTCCGAGAGTACCAAACGTCTACTAAACTACTAACCCTAAATCAAAAAGATTAAACAGCAGAGGTTACCTCAACCTAAAAGTCATGGAGAATCTTTCAACCTCTGCTAAAAGACAAATGTGCAACATACTTACAAATGTTGGTAGAAAAAGAAAAAACAGAACAAACAGTTAATCTTTTTCCTTCCTTTCCTAGAATTATGCACTTCTTAGTGTTTGTTAGTCACATAAAGTCCCCCAAAAATGCATTGCGGTTTGTGGTTGTAAATTACAATTACAATTACAATAGAATACAACAGAATTCACCTAGGGGAAAAAAAGAAAATGATCAGTTTTTCTGAATTAATGACATAATTAAACACAAATACATTCAGAATTAACGAGATCTTGCTGCTGTGATGTCATAGTGGATGTTCTGTTACTGTTGGCATTGCATATTTTTTAACCAGAGAAGCCTCAATATGTCCCATCTGTTGAGTTTAATTCATTTTGACTTTCAGACACTGGGAAATTCTCTTATTTCTTAGTTATGTAAATTAAATTAGTATTAGTTGGTCGACCTTCCAAAGACACCTGCGCGCAACTCATGTCATGGTTGTTTTCCTCTCCCTCCTCTCTTTGCAGCTTATCTCATGAATTGAGAAAAATGCAACGTTTTATTTATTGTTATAAAAACTTATCTTGTTGATTCTATAAAAAAAAAAAAAAAACATAATGTTTTTATTCATTTGTTTATTTAACATATTAACATATCTTGTTAATTCAGAAAAACCTAAGTTTTTTGTTGATTTTTACAGTATTAAAAATTGTGCCGTTAATTCAGAAAAAAACAAACTTTTTTTCCATACACTTCCATAGAATACAGCTCAATCTGAACATGTCCTTTTTTTATAAGATAAACATTTTGGTTTTAGTCCCATAAAGCACCATAACTGTTTTCTGTTTTCTCTTCAGGGGACGGTCCTTAAAAAAGCAGCATGAGCAGCGAGCCTATGAGCGCGAGATGCAGAGGATCACCCTGCCCCTGTCGGCCTTCTCCAACCCCACCTGCGAGCTCATAGATGAGAACACCATCGTGATTACGGCCGAGCCAGAGATCACTCCCGTTCAGGAGGGCGAAGACGCTCTTATCGGTCAGCATGCCGGTACTCCTGGAGCATGAGGGCAGCATGGATTCCACATAATGGACCAAATCACTCCCATGTCCCTGTTTCTCCTTCCCACCTCCCTGATGGAGCTCAGTTTTTGAAGGGTTGAAAAGCAGCATCAGCTCCAAAGACTTTTGAACTGTCTGCTGTGTCCTTTCTTCCCCATTTTTCCCCATTTTTCCCTAATCAGGGAGGTGCAGATGTTCTTACATAAAATGGACACAGTGGTAAAACCTTTTAAAACCACTAAGTAAAATCGATTGTTTTTGCGACACAGAACAATCTGCCTCCTTCAAAAAGAGTTTTAGTTTTTAGTCAAACGGAGTTTGTCGCTGTCTGACGGAAAGTGGGTGCTAGTAAGGAGACGATTATGGGACAGGGAGACATCTTCTATCGTCTGTTTTCTTAATGAGGCGAGTTGATTTTGTTAGGCTTTGATTTGTGTCTCACTGGCTGTGCCAAGGGAGACCAGAAACATGTTTGTACAAAGAGTGTTTTGTCTTGCCGACGCATGGCTGACACAGATCCGTGTCCATAAATAGTCATGCTCCTCGTTACAGGATGCACATAGTAAACGGCGGCCCATGAAAGACAAAGAGAGAGGCCTCCAGATCTAAATCTGCCTTAGCATGATACCTCTGAATGTATCCTGTTTGTTCTGGTAGCGCTCAATGGCAGAAGCCCCTTTCATCCACAGGTTAAGGAGTGACAGGAAAATAAACACACTACAGATAGTTACTGCTCAGAAGAGGACGGCACTGCCTCAGCACAGAATATTATGACAGTCTTGATTGAGTCTCATGATGACAGTGTGCTGCCAATAGATTAGATCCCTATGTTTGAGTTTTGCACCTCAGAGTAGACATTGGGAATGGAGTAGAACAGGAACAGCTCACAGTTCTAGGCCTCTCCAAATAGAGAAAAACATAAACGCATGTGCATGTCTACCTAATGTATGTGTGCCATTCAGGGACCATAGTATTACATCCTAATAAATAGGCAGAGCTGCAGTTGGTGGGCGGGTAGATGAGCTCGAGACTATCCCCCCCGACTGCTGAACAGTGCTAATATACTGCTGTTTAAAGGGATGGGTTAAATGCAGACGGCATATTTGTTGTAATGTACAAAGTTACAAAGACAAAAAAATACGTTTATTGTTTTGTTATTACTGTAGGGAAAGTTTTTACTTTAGTTTTTTTTTTATTATTTCTTTGCCATTTCTCACTGTGTTATTAGTTTTCATGTGATCACTCCAGATTATCTGGTGTTGCTGTTGAACTCAAATCACCCGTTATCGATGATTGTTAATGTTTTATCTGCTGGCTGTGATAGTTTCATCATAATGTACTATAAGTACCACTGAATTGAATTTTCTTTTTTAGCACTTGTGTGGCCTTTTCTGTTGTTGCTCAGACTGATATTAAAAAAAAGAAACAACACAGACACAATAGTTTTGATGTCTTTATTTAAAATAGAAAAGTAGTATGTATGCATAGATTTAGAATAATCTTTTAATGCAACCTTCCATTTTTTAAACACTAGCTCCCTCTGGTGGCAAGATGGCTTGTATACCAAACCACCAACCACAACATGGTAAACGATTCTAAATTCATGTCTTCACATTAAATTTTTTTACATAAGATTCAGACATGGCGGTGGTGCAGTGGTTAAGCGAGCAGAGGCTTTTGTCCTTAATATAGCCTTCACAGGTTTGAGCCCAATGTCTTCCTCCTCTCTCTAATCCCATATCCTGTCTACCTATGTTTGAAAAATGTCAAAAATAAAGGCCAGAAGAGCCTAAAACATAAGATTCATAAGCTAAAGATTACCCACCTCCTTTATGTCATATGCTTTGAAATGACTATCTTGGAAAAGTTTCAACTGTTGCACACGTTGAAAATGAGAAGATCAGACTGGTCCCACATTAGGATTACGAATATGAGCAGATCTGAAAAATTGTTGTCAAAAGTAAACAAACTAAATTAAATACTCGAAGAGTCTCAGCCAAGTAGCACCACACTTAACTGCTCAGGTAGGAGAGTCTGTCCAAGGAACATATATACGTCTTGAGTCCTGCTAACTGAATCCTCTACTGTTGAAAGAAAGCCAGAAGGTAGTCATATCTGCAGTTTTTCACATGCCATATTTATGATACAGAAAAATGTCAGTGAAACATGTCTCTGGTCAAAGCACATAAATGTTTAACTTCTTTTGCCAACATCAAAAACGTTATGTATTTGTGTTGGAACAATAACTGCATATCATCCTTAACACATTAACTACATGATGGCATATGTTGGTGGCAGCATCATGCTGTGAGAGATGCTCCTCTTTAGCAAAACAGGGAAAACCAATTGGAGGGCAGTACTGAAAAACTGCATAGAACTCCCAGCAAAAAACAACCTCCATACATACCTGTAATTCTGAAACATAATGGTTCAGCTTAAAAAGACATTAATGTGCTAGAGTGGACCGAAGTCCAGGCCCAAGTCCAATTGTTTATTTGTAACAAGACTTAAAAATTGATGTTCATAGATTCCCTCCATCCAGCATGTTGGAGCTTGAGCTGTTTCACCAACAAAGAAGTCATAATATCATGCAAGACACGAGTTTAAGCTCTTTAGCAAAAAATGTAGCACTCTTTGTCTCTGGAGAGTCTCCTGTTAAAATTTTACACATTATACACATCTTTCCGATTATAATATGTAAGAAAAAAAAAAAAGACAATTTTGTTCCCCCTAACATTCATCCATAAATTTGTTTTAATTTGGCACATAATATATACAAACTGTGGTTGTAATTTGACCAAATGTTAAAAAGTGAAAATGGTACATATACTTTTGCAAAGCTTTCTATATGCTTAAGCAATCAGTAACAGTATTTTGGGGTTAATATTTTACAATAAAATACAGTCTCAGAAGTAAATCTGCTTTTAAAATAAAGACCATGCGAATAATTGTGGAGATATGTTTATCTATGTTGTTATTAGAAAAACAAATCAAATATTTCTTATTCACTCTATACAGGATTTTCTCCTTGATTTTCTCCAAAATAAAAAGTAAAAAACGTCTCATCTAATTGCGCTAGAAAGATTTTAACTAACAAATTACTCAAAAACTAATTTTTCAATTGACTTTAATGTTTCCATTTTTAATCCGAAACTGTAACAGACAACTTCTGATAAACTACTGTAGTGCTAATGAAAACAGTCAAAGGGTGATTTTGAAAAAAAATCTTTCAGAAGTTTTATTTATGAAACACTACAAGGATATAAATAAAAGTGGTTACAAGTGTTCATCAGTACCTTGCTTTGCAATAGCAAAATGCTGTTGAAATGTCTCAAATATATAAAAACAACTAAACATTCCAATTGAATCCAATCAAAGGCATCATATATACACATTATGTACATCGCTTAAAGAAAAAAAAACAAGTCCCACTTTACAGTTTGTTTCACAACATCCAAAACAAGCCTTGTCCTGATTTATTAAAGAGAAAAAATGATTTTAAGTCTTCATTTTTCTGAAAAATTAGTAAAAACATTGACTACAAGAAAAAAATAAATCAGAAGAGCTTAGAAGAGAAGTAAATCTTCATCGTATTTAGCCTCCAGTCTCAGCATATAAAAAGAAGGAGCAGTTGCTTTAAAAAAAATGGCAAATAAAATTATAAATTTTGGGTCAAAACTCAAGAAACAATAAGAAAAAAAAAGCAAGCAACACTAAATGAATAAAAAAAAATAACATATAACAATAAGAATTTAGAGAGGAGCCATTGAAGCACAAATTAAAACCATTGTTATACAGTAATTTCTAAAAATCCATTCAGTTCACTTGTGTCTAATCAACCTTAATTAATTGAAGATTATCATAGAGATAAATTGTTTTAATAATTCTTTTATTTTGCTCTCATTTGGGGGAAATCAATACATTTTATAAAAACGCAGAAAAGGTCTTTAAACACGCAGTTGTCCATGGACAAAAAAAAATAAAATGACACAAAATGTTACCAGAAATACTACCAGCTACCTCTGCTTGGGATCTTAAAACACTGCAGGGCTTTTTTTAGAGGCACACCGTGTAACTTTTGTTCACCAGGGGTGCTAGACCCGTAACTGCCCGTATTTAGCTTCTACTAAACAACATTCAGGTCTAATAATAAAGTTTAGAAATGAGAATCGGTTTTATATCTGGCTGCTTCTTTCAGTCTGTGCCAGTGAATAAACTCCTTTCCACGATCGACTCTTGTTTGTTCTCAGGAACGATCCCTTTCACGATTTCTGTTTTTAGCCTCCTGAGAAGGTTTAAACTTTTTCCTGGCCTCAGCCATGACCAGTAGTCAAGCAGGTGGGAAATTGTAGAGAAAAAGCCTTATCTCTATGATGATATAAGAGCCTGTGGCCATAAAGCAGTATGTTCTTCCAGGTCACGTGACCTGGCCAAGGAGGGTGCATCATCTCCCAACTTACATAGTCTGTATTTTAAGAGGGGATCCCTGCTTGTAGCATTGATAGTGTCAAGCTCTGTATATTGGCAAAAGGAATCATTTAAAATAACTCATATGCATCAACTATTTGGGTCACAAAGTCCACAGTGTGTCTTTAAAAAAAAAAAAAAAATTTAACTCTAAGGTTGTTGTTTTTTGCTCTAATAGGGTAAAATAAAGTTTTTACAGCAACTGCTCTCTCCCACAAACAGGGTGATATCGCTTCAGTGCTAATTAAACCAAATAATGAGCAATTATAACTGGAAAGCTGGAGATAGATATTTCTAACTGATTTATTTTTTTATTAAGAAATTTAAACAGGTGGACAACCATGGACACTTTTATGGATATCTGAGATCGGTTAGAGGGATCCAAACAACTGGTTATAATTTAGATCAAAGAATATGTTGCCCTTTTCTGTCCATCAGTATAGAGTTAGCTGTAAGGGACAGTTTAAAAAGAAAAAATATGACTCAGTGTCAGTTCTTAAAAAGGTTTACAGAAACTAGAATCTGCCAAAAGAAACTGGTCGGTGCTTTTCATTCGATTATTTTAGTTGAAATGAAAATCGTCTCGAGGAATCTTCTTGAAAAGTGTTCTGCACTGACTGAACTACTTTCCTTTCTATTAAGGGTTCATGTTTAACAACAATCCTTACCTGCAGCGCAGTTTAAATTTGTTTTTCCTTTAAGCTTAAAGTACGGCCACTCCTCTTTAAGGCGTGGATGGATCACTATGTGAAAAACATCAGAGCCAGAAAAATACGACTACTGTAACATGAGGACAATAACATCGTTAAAAGGTGTTTGTCCACAGGAAAAGGGATCACCTGTGTTGCCAAAGTTAAACTGTAAATGTTAAGAACACATTAGTGTTGTTAAACAAGGACAGCAATAAAAAAAAACAACAAAAAGTTAAGAACTTGATATGTGACTCTTTGTTCTCACTGCAGTGCATTGGCACTCAAGAGTTACGTTCCAAAACAAGGGACGAATGGTCCAGTCATCTCAGGTTATCCAGTTCTAGCATGGCTCGGGTTCAACATTATTCCTCTCTCATTCCCAACCACAAAATTAGTGCAGCACTTAGGAGGCATCACAGAGAGTGAATTACACGTCGTACAGGAACAAATCCTAGGAGTCGTTGTCAGTCACACTGTTGCAGTCTGTAGATTCTGCTGTTGGGGTTGGTGGCTGCTCTGAGCTTTGAACTGGGTCCTTAGGCCAGTAGAGTTGACTCAGATTCTGATGGAGTTCATCCAGTTCAGCTGGCAGGGGAATTCCCAGCTCCTGGTTGAGGGAGAGGGCTTTAAACCAGTCCTCCAGCTTTTGAAACGATGGACTATGGAAGGAGGAGAAAAGAAAAGATTAGCAAAGAGTTTTCGATTGGAACCGGCCTGACGAGGTTAAGAGAAAAAAGACGAGGAAGCAATCTGGTAGTAGGGGTGTGCCTATGTGCAGGCAGAAACTGTTTTTTTCCCCTCTAAGTCCTTCTCTGCTGCTTTAAGGTCAAAACTCAAGATAAAAAACAAGAAACATTAAATAAAAAAAAAATAAAAAAAAATGCTGTTTGAACTATTTTTGTTTTTTGGGTTTGTTTGGTTTCTACACTTTCTAGAGATGCGTCATGCATGATTTCCCCTTTTTATATTACATTATTTTTATTTGGTGGGGGTCAAAGAAAATGTTTGGGTTCCTAAAGTCACTATGAAAAAAAAAAAAAAAAGGTTCTAGGTTCATTTAGTAGATCCGAGTTAAGCCTTTGTGGATAAGTGGACAGTCCTTTACATCAGAATAAGAATAAGAGAAACTGTATATAGTTAGAAATAGTAGAGAAATTATGCTACATTTATGATTCCTTGAAATTGCAAAATTATTGTTTTTGTTTTGCCCTTAACTTTTAAAGTAGGCCTGCATAATTGGTGTAAGATTATGAGTTTAGTCAATTTTAGAGAAAAA